CAATTTCATGCTCAAAATCTGTTCTTTTGGTTTTTTTTGTTGTCTGATTTTTGATTCGTACACAAACTCATGTTCAGGAGGACGTTCATTGCTGGGTGGTCTTAACAAAGATTTCTCTGGTTTGATGAATTCTTCCAATGGATTGATGAATGAAACTATCCTCTCTCAGGTCAGAAAAACCAATAATTTATACATAAATTCAGAATCTGCGTCTTCGAATTTCAGTATTTTGTGTGTTTCTATCGATTTTGAACTGTGTTTTTCTTCATTTTTTTGGATTGGATTGGAACGGATAAGTGTTTCTTCGTTGGTTCTATCGCTTTAAACCGATGTTACGGATGTTTTGATGTCTTAAAGCTTCTTCCTTTTTTGGTGGAAACAGCAACAACAACGAAGGAACTTCATTCAAATGGGGACGATTCTTAAAGTTGTGGACAATTCGGGTGCGAAGAAAGTGATGTGTATTCAAGCTTTAAAGAGTAAAAAAGGAGGTCGACTTGGCGATACAATAGTTGCTTCGGTGAAAGAAGCAATGCCAAATGGTAAAGTGAAGAAAGGAGCGGTTGTGTATGGTGTGGTTGTTCGAGCTGCGATGCAGAGAGGTCGTGTTGATGGAAGTGAGGTTAGGTTTGATGATAACGCGGTTGTTCTTGTTGATAGTAAAGACAAGAATACGAAAACCGATCGCCAACCGATTGGTACTCGAGTGTTTGGTCCTGTTCCGCACGAGCTTCGCAAGAAAAAACATCTCAAGATTCTTGCTTTGGCTCAACACATTGCGTGAGGCTTGAGAATACAATAAAACAATCTAATGGATTTTTGTGTTGTTATTCTGTAAACTCTTTTCCACAATTTGTTTCTTTCTTTTTTTTAGCTTTTTGTGTTGAAACTTTAAAATTTCAACTTTAGCTTTTTGTCTCTTAAGCTGTGCTTTGGAATTTTTTGGTTCATGAAGTATAAAATTCAAAATAAAAGCCGAAAACAATTCAATTCGATTGAATATGGTTTTTATTTCGTTTTAAATTCAATTTTACTAAAAATATGTCCTTTTTCTTGGTTTATTTGTCTATTTGATTCGATTTTTGGTACGGTTGTTTGGATATGATAAAAATATATAATCGAAAACGCATTTTCTCTTCCGATTACTTTTTTTTTAAAATGATTTCAGTTTGGTTCGAATTGTATAATGTACTCGAAAAATACTTTTTTTTTTGTTTTTTAAGTTCCATTACGAATCCAACTACTTCAATTTATGTAGTGTGTGAGTTGTAGATGATAATTTTTTTTTATTGATGTTTATTTATTTATTTTTGTTTAAAATGTTATTTATATTTTGTTTAATTGCGTTTACCTTTATATTATTGTTTATTGAATGTGCATCCTATAAGTGTAAAATTTTCAAGTTTAGCCCTCTGTTTATTCTATGTCAATTGAACTCAAAAACCATTCCATAAATAATTGTTCTGGCTCCGCCACTGTTCGTCTTTGAGGTCTAAAACCTATCGCTTGAAGAGGTAATTGATTTCTTTATTTATTGGCGTTTTTTAGTTCAATTGGCATTGATAAACT